GGCAAAAAGCCACAACGTGGCCCGACCCCCTGCAGCAGCTCACCGCTCAGATTTTGGCTCACCACAGCATAGCAGTGCCCACCGGCAGGAGGAGCTCTGCGCCAGATAAAATGCCATGTGGCCAAAGCCAGCCTGCAGGTGTGAAGGGCCATGGTGAGCACGGTGGCTCCTCCCAAATTAATTCTGAATTAATTCACTTGCCGGCATTGGAGAAGAGCATGCTCCTCCAGTGTCCTCCTGTCGGAGCATAGAGAGGGGCTACAGGGAGTAAGGGCCATTACTGAAAGTGGGATCTTGAAATTAGACACCTAAATCCATAAGGCTGGGGAGGGCTGGGCCAGGCGGGTGGGAGGACGCGGGGCTGCACATGCGTGGGCTGCTGGCAGCCGTCCGCACCGCGCCGCACCGCACACATGCTCAAGGGATGGCACCTGCAGTTAGTTTGCGTGATGCCATGAATCTTCCTCCAGCCGTTCCAGGGAGATGATCTGGACATAACGAAGATCTATAGTAATCAGATAATTACTATCGATTGCTCTTTAGACATCTTGACGAGGTAATTAGGGGTGCTGGAAAGAAGCTGGAACTGATTCATTGGCATAACCTTAATCTAAAAGGTTTCCTAATTATGTTTCTTTTCTTCTAATGGCTGATAAACAAACATCATGTTAGCTTCAGGATTTGTCAGATGCTGAGCTCACAGGGACCTGAGCTTTTCTGTTATGCTAACTAGGTCCTCATCATGATCAAGCCCAGCTCGTTTTGCCTTCAGCTAAAATGCAAGCATCTGTAGTTAGCCTGGGTTAGTGTCCTGGCTTCATGTGCCCATGTATTCCTTGAGCTTGGTCGCTCTGGGTATGATGGACTGGGCTGCATGTGACTGTTCATTTGACTTTTGTAATTAAAGAAGGCTGAGTTTGGCTGTGTTTGTTTCTAATGGAGCTCATGTAGCTGCCTTTGTACTTGCTTCTTCCATGCGTACTACAGTTAGGCTCTGTCTCTGTAGCTAACAGTCCACTGCAGTCTCATTAGTTACTGGCATATGTTTATTTTTAGCACCAGAAAAATGAGCAGACTCTTAGCTTGCTACCTTTCAGTTACAAGATCAGTGTTTCAGTAGCCCTGAACTTACGTAATCATCCATACAAACTGCTCCATCACAGTGTCTTCCTCCTGTTTTGACAGCACTGTGCTAGATGGTTAGTCTCAGGAGTTGGCCTCTCATTTCTTGTGTTGCTGTCACAGAGCAGTTTGCCATGAGGACAAAAACCAACTGAAAAAATGCACAAGCCACATATCAGCAGGACCTGCATGAATAAGAAGAACTTTCAAAAGCAAAATAGTAAAGCCACCACTAGATACCCAATTTGGTGAGCGATAGGGAAGACTGGTATTTTTCACTATTCAAGCAGTGCCCAGATGCACAGTCTTCGACTTCAATTTAACTGCATGCAGTTAAGCTTCCTGCGTACGGGACCTGTCAGGGAACGGTGTGTCTCTGAAATGAGATGGGGGGTTTGCTGCACCGCTGCTATACGATGAGGGGGGATTATACACTTGTGCAATGCAGGTTCACCGGGAAGTGTAGCTCTGTACAGTTCCTGTGCATATTTTCCATATTGTACAAGCTGCTGCATCTACAGCAGCCCACCTTCAGGGAAGCGCAGACCCACGTGCGGTTTGGCTCACACCCTGACTGCTCTCTTGTGTTTATTGCTCACCTACAGGAAGTGCTACAGCTTGAGCGGCAGATGGGCGGGCAGTTACTGGAAGAACCCAAAGCTTTGCATTTTAAGGGAAGTACCCACAACCTCCGCTTGTCCATTCATGACATTGCCCACTCTCTCTGGAAGAGCAAATTGCTGGCAAAGTACCAGGTGAGCATCACAAACTTTTCACATTAGGTCCTAGCAGTAAGGCTTAAAGAAATACAATGACGCACAAGGGTGTTTAAGAACACCAGTTGCCCAGCTCCAGCGCTGTGGACATTTCTTCCTTGGACTCTTTGCCCTGACAGCGGCACAAAGCCCATGGTGTCTCATCCTACAGCATCTGCGGCCTGGTCTTGCAAGGCCTTTTGCTCTCCTTTCCTCAGGGCCATGTGGGAGCTGAGGCAGTTATCTGCTGAAGGGGATTGTGGAAAACTATTACAATTTTAAAGCCTTCCTTGATTTTTTTCCCCCCCCTTTCTGCAGGAGATTCCCTTTTACCACATCTGGAGTGGGTGTCAGAGGAACCTACACTGCACCTTCACGCTGGAAAGGTTCAGCCTGAATACTCTGGAGCTGGTGTGCAAACTCTGCGTACGGCAGGTCGAGGGGGAAGGGCAGATCTTTCAGCTCAACTGCTCAGTGTCAGAGGTAAATGACATTATTGCACTTCTCCCCTAACCGATTGCTGGAAAATGGGAGGGTTAAGGAGCTATATGCCTTCCTCTCTCTACCTATTTAGTGTTTCCCATTTTCCTTCTGACTGCTGGGTTGGACATAAGATCTGGTTTAAATTGTTGCTCTGTGTCTTCTCTTGTGTTTTCCTGTAGTTTTCCCCCCAACCCACTCATCTGGAAGGGAGCATCCCTCCTTCAAGGGAGGGAGTAGGGTAGGGATGGTCTTCCTGCTGCTGCCCCCTCCCTACCTATGTGGAGGAGCTCCCTGCCTACAGCTCCCTCACACCTCTCAGGAAGCACTGTATGGTCGGTCTCCTGGCAGGCCACTGCGCAAGGCCACCATGCCTGCCCTTTCCCTGGAAAGGCAGAAAGGAGAGTAGGAAAATATCATTACTATACATTCCTATGAGCCACTTCCCTTCGAGCCCACACAATAAGCACTGTGAAATAGAGAATATCAGCTGGGTCAGCTGGAATAGACTTTTCCCTGCAGACTTTTCTACTGCTACAAGTCATGACTATTATCTTCAATAATCTTTCTTTTGACTGCTGACATTTTCCAGTAGGCAAATGATCATAGGATTTGAAAAATCTTTTATCAGTGCTACTTAGGACCTCAAGGATTTTAGCTCCTTAGGGCTGACCCCAAGCCCGCAGTTGAGGTATGAAGCAGGGTTGACTTCACTGAATATGCTGGTGACTTTTGCGCCACAATTCTGAGGTTGTTGTCACTCCTTAATTGCTTCTAAGTCAAGACAAAGGAACGTGATAAAATCCTTTGAAACAAACAGGTCAGACAAGCAGGGTGAACAAACTCCTGTCTTGCTCTAGGGCTGCTCTTTTCTCTTTTTAGGGATTGAGCGTGAGGGGAAGCGTATTTGGGAACTTAACCTGCTTCCCATAGCAAACCCAGAACATGCCCTCGTCTTATATTGCTTTTATTTATTATTTACCATTTATAGTTTATTTTCCACTATGTCTCCAAATCCCTTTAAAGATGAGTCACAGGGTGAAGCAGCGGAGAAGGCGTCAGTACCATGTATTTTGGCCAGCAGCACCTCAGCTGCTGAGAAAGAGCAGGCCAGCTCGCAGGCACGGATGGCTGCTGGCTGACTTTGGGAAGGGCAGGGAGACGACAGGCAAAAGTTACTTGGGCTGTAGGGCCCCGACGGTGTGCGTCATTACCCATAACATCTGCTCGGTTATTGGGTGTAAAGTTATATATTCAGCTGGGGAAAACACAACATTAAAGACAGATGGTAAAACAAGTATCATAAACAATTATTGTAATAAGTGCTGCATTGAGGTAATCGCTAATTTAACCCAAAGAAGAGAAAGAACTGAGAGTAACTTTAATGAAATGCAAGTACACACTATAATTATCTTCAGCTGCTTGTGTGTAATAGGACCTGATAATAGATTCAAAGGGAATGGGATAATATTCCTGTCTTGTGCTGTGATCCCATCCAGCAGGGATGAATGCAGTGAGGGAATAATACTGCCATTAGCGAGGCTGCGGATCATGAGAATTGCTCATCACGCTTGGTACCGAGTGGCAGTCCCTAGCGACTGCGTGAGGGGCAGGAGGCCCTTCAGCTGCTCAGGGCTGGCATACAGCACTGTGCCGACTTTGTCATTAAAAAAAAAAAAAAAAAACACAAAAAAACCCTCAGCTTGTCCGGTGGCAAAAGTTACCTGGAAATTTGAAAAGAACAACGCGTATGCCTCTAGGTAAGAGAGGCATAAGAGGAAGGGGGTTGTATGGTAAAGACCCTGGACCAGGTGTCAAGAAACCTGAAATATAGTTCCTCACGATTTCTTCCAGGGACAGGTCAGTCACGTCGGGTTGTGTTTTGGTCGACTGCTTTGAGGATGACGTGGTTTGGTTTGTTTTTGGTGATTTTAAACTGTGTACGTTACTCAGAGAGCCTTGTTCATTGTGGGGGGAGGCAGACACCTAAAATTTAGGTACTGCAGGACCTGCCTTGCTGGTGCCCTTGATCTTTGTTGGATCTGCCTCTGTGCCCCAGTCACCCCATGGTAAAAATATAGTTGTAGTGTTCCTCCCTCCCTTTACGGGCTTTCTTTTTTTTCCCCTCAAAGGCAGTAAAACTTTTGCAGTTGAAACTGTCGACTTCTGACTTTATACAGTGTCTTCCACAGCATGACCTGGTCTCAGCTGGAATTTCTAAAAAACAAACATATTAAGCGCCAAAATGTGTAAATAAGCGGAGAGAGAGAAAAGGAACGTGATAAAGGTCCCTCACCCATGGTTTTTGAAGATTCCTTTTTATCTCACCCTATCAGTACTCACCCAGAAGAGACCCATCACACTACCCCAGAAACGTGTGTTTACTTCACAATAGTCCTACCCTGCTCAAGGCAGAGGGCCATCGCCACGTAGCCGGAGCCGCGGACCTGCCAGTGTGCGTCTGGAGGCAGTAGCTGTGGCAGATGAGTCATTTTGCCAGCTACCGGGCAGCCTGTGCTGCCAGACAGTTGGCAAAGCAGCACATCATTGCCTGAAGCCCTGCGGGCGGCACGTCTGGTCGGTGACCCAGGTACCTGCTGCGGGTAAGAGCCGTAGCAGGCTCGGTGGCCCAGCGTCACCGGCCGCGGAGGCTGAGCGCTGCGCTCGGCGCCGACGGAGAGATGCCGTAGCCGGCACGCCTTCAGGCATGTTAGCTGAGGACATGGCAGTATGGCAGAAACCTTTTCTGGTTAAAAATTTCACTGGCTAGCCAAAAATTTCATTGTTAAAAAAAAAAGGCATATTTATAGAGTGGAATAGAATTAAGTGAAGTGGTTAAAGGAACGGAGGCCAAAGGTATAATGCTGTTCGTTGCCCACAAGCATTGACTCTCCCCTTGACTTTTCTATATACTTTTTGCAGGTGAAAACTTAGACCCTGAATGATTGTTGTGAGTATCTTCAGCAAGCTTCTTGGGGGATTTGTGATGGCAGCTTAAACCGAGCGTTGTCTGCTTTTGAGACAGTTTGGGGTTTTACGGGGCCTTCCCAGCAGCCAGGTTTACACAGAGCAACAAGACGGCTTACAGAAGAACAAACATTGACGTTTAACAGCAAGCAGTTTGCACTAGATTTTCTGGTTGCTCAGGGCTGTGATCTGGCAGAGGCGAAGCTGCTGCCCCCCCATTTCTGCCAGTGTGACCTCAGGCTGGCCACACTGTAAAAGAGGATAATTGGAAACGCAAATGAGAGTTATAAAGGGAGAACAAGTGATACTTGCCTTTTATTTTTCGCCCAGCGTGCTTTGATAGCTTAAGATGAGAAGTGCTGCATGTGAGAGCAATGTCCCTGCTGTACAGTGTAGTGGGCAGTGCAGGTTGTGTTCGGCTTCGTTCTTAGCAGCCCTGCAGGGTCTCGTCGAGAAGCTGCAGCTTCCTTGCACCGGCATCAATGTGTTGGCTGCCGAAAAGCAGCACCCTGGGTACCTTGGGTCCTGCGGTCTGGGGGTGCAGCTGTCCCAGCCAGGAGCAGCCCTACTGCTTTTGCCTTCAGCTCCTGCTTGCGCCGTGGCTAGGGACGCACGCTCTGCTTCAAGGCCATTCCTGAACCCTTGGGCAAGGGCTGCGATAACGTTTGAGACGATCCGTAAAAGAAGCTAATGAGTGATGTGACTTGCTGAGTAGATCAGTACTGCAAAATCCTGACTTAAAATGCATCTGCAGGGATGTCTTAAAAATCGGTACTCCCTCCTTCCTCCCCTCTTCCCCTACCCCACTCCTGGTCTTTGGGATCAGCAAGCCACTGAGCCAGAAATATGGCAAGGGAAGGAGCTGTCGAGCTCACGGGACTGCCTTTCAGAGCCAAGCGGAGCGCTGGCCTTGGGGAGGAGGGCAGACAGCCGCGCTCTAAGCACTCCCTCTGTCTGTCTTCAGTGCAGATTTAGAGCCGCATAAAAATGAAGGATCAGTCTGTGCAGTATTAACCGTTTCTCCGTGGTTTGTCCTGCATCAAAGGCTTCGGAGAGCACCAGTGCTGCCCCTCAGGGCACGGGCAACGGGAGCAGCAGCCGATGCAACTTTTGGGGAAAGCGTTCCCACCTGTGGTCCAGCTTTCTCAGTGTGCAGAGCACCTGGGGACACATGCACGCCCGTGCACGGACATGCACAGCTCCCTTACTGCTTTATGTCGCCTTACACGCAAGGGCTGCCACACAAAGTAGTTAAATACTCAGCTTTTCTTATGTGTGGATCCTAGCTTCAACTTCTGAGACACCTTTTTTCACTCAATTTGGCCCTGGGAGTAGTGGTAATTTGCTCTAAAACATATCAAGTGCCTGATCTTTCTTTATTTCAAGTAATTAATTTAATTAAGCAGGGCTCTGTGTTTTCCAGCTCTAGTAACCTTCACCCTCAATAAAAAAAAAAAAGAAAAATCTGCTGTCCATCTGAAGTCAGCTATTAATACATCTCTTTTTCAACTGACTAACATAAATGCCTACACAACTTGATTAGCAGAGGTCTGCTGCCCCTTTAATGCAAGTAAAAGCACTGGGCCTAGGAGGAGACCCTCCTGTGATTGTTTCTGCGTTCAGTAACAGCACTGCAGTGATTTTTTTTCCTTCCTTTCCAACCCCAGGAACCTGCTGGCATCGATTATCCTCTCATGGATTCAGCAAGCACCATCACCACGATCGTAGGGCCCAGCGCTTTCAGCATCCCCCTGCCAATCCGGCAGAAGCTCTGCAGCAGCCTCGACGCTCCCCAGACCAGGGGCCACGACTGGAGGATGCTGGCCCACAAGCTGAAACTGGACAGGTGAGCAGGGCCGCCTGCGCGGGCTCGAGTGGCAAAGCCGCCTCCGAGGTATCCGCACCCCGTAGGGTGCTGCTGAAATAAGTGGCAGCAGCCATAACCTACAGCCTAGCCAGACTGACCACTCGGGATGAGCGCCCTCACGGTACTGGTGGTGGGTATGGCTGGGATGGTCTGAGTTCATGTGAATTCACTTAACAGTCATGCAAAAAACGAGTTTCCCGTTGGCTTGTTACAGGTATCTAAATTATTTTGCTACAAAATCAAGTCCCACTGGGGTGATCCTGGATCTCTGGGAAGCCCAGAATTTCCCTGATGGCAACTTGAGCATGCTGGCAGCAGTTCTGGAAGAAATGGGAAGACACGAAACCGTTGTTTCTTTGGCAGCAGAAGGAAATTACTGATGCAGCCTTGGCGGGATCAGGAAGGACAGACACAGGGAGTGGTAATGCCCTGCTATTACACATGAGAATTGAAGAGAAAACCCAGACCAATGAGTTACACAAAAGACACTTCAGAGAAGAAAGCAAGCAAACAAAAAAAAACCAGCCCTGACCTTTACACGTGCTCTCCTTGTACATTATCACAGGATCTAAAAGAAATCATGCAAAGTTGTACCTTGAAAATATAAATCAACCTAATGTTCCTCTCGGCTTGGCTGTACACTGCTTGGTACAGGATTTTACAGTTTCCTAGGAAACGCTTTTTATTGCTATCCAGATATATGGATAAACTTTCTTAACAATCCCAGTTTCTACGGATGTTGTTTACATCAAATTCTGGACAGGGGTAAGGAGACTGTCCATGGCTCTTTATATTTTTTGTTTAAAGCCATTCTAGACAAAGCTATGGACAGTTGGTTGTGGCTATTTCAGATTATTGGTTTCTGGTGAAGTCAGACTTTGGCTACAATTGTGCACATCGAGTGTCTCACAATGATCCTCCTGTCATTATTCTGTTTCCTAGACCTACGTGTAAAAAACCCCAGAGCTGCAGAGGGGTGCATCTGGAAAGCAGGTACTCTGGGTGCTAAGCAGGAACAAACATAACGTTCCCGTCCTTGCCCAAGGGAGGCCCCTTGAGCCTGTGTGGAAAATAGCTGTAGGACAGTGGGAAACATAGGATGGGAGTTAATTTTCCATTCACAGCCTAACAAACACCCTTTCCACCCCTTGGCGATATGGGGAGGCTGGATATGCAATTCAGAGTGGTTAGGGAAAAAAGAAATCCAGAAAAAAATAAAAAAGAGATTTTCCTATGATAATTATTTACTAATTAGTATCTAGTGCAAGGATTATAATGATTACTATTGTTATTATTATTACCATTCTTACTTTATTTCTAATTTTGTCAGCAGCAGGATGAATCGTTCCCATTTTGATAGAACCTGTTGTCCCCTTCCTGAAGGTCTCCTAGGACATTTCCCACTATATTGTCTGTCCTTCCCTTCTCCAGCCATTGTACACGTCCTCCAAAGTCCTCTGCTAGCCCACAAGGGTTGCTCACACGGTATTAGAGTTGCTGTGCTTTATGCCAGCTGCAAAGCTGGTTCAAACTGGTGGAGCTCCCCAGAAATCACTGGTCCGCACCAGCAAAGGATCTACCCAGCGTGTCTCCCTGCAGCGAATTGTGACATATTGCGACTCCCCCAGTTTGCTCCAGGAAGCACTCCTACGCCAAGGTGACTGTGAAGGCTGGAGCGCGCCCCATCCCATGCTGTGATCCAGCCTCCCAGTCCAGCTGCACGTAGCCCGTCGTTTGGGAAGCAGATGTGCAAGCGTATGGAGGCACTGACGTTGAGCACCCGATCTGTGCATCCAAGGTGAGCCTCCAGAGACCTTGCTTTATTTTTAAGAGATTTGGGAGCCAGCAGCTCCCATGAGTTTCAGACGGAGCCAGAGGCACTTACTCCCACTGAATAACACCTCTTTGCTCAATGGCTGTGATAGCCAAGGCTACTGGGCGTAAGAGGAAGGCTCCTTTCTGTCGTTTCTGGGTGAGAGCCACTCGCTGGATCTCTGTGGCTCTTCCGGAGCTGCAGCCAGGGCAGTTTCTCCCGCATGCCCAGTGCAGCGCGGTGGAGGCCAAGCCCCGTGCATTGCAGCTCTGTGCTTTGGCTCTGCCCCGGCTCCCGATTTGTCACGGTAGCTCTTGCACAGGGCGTTGCAGGTCCCTGTGAGCTGACCAGACACATTTGTTTCCGTGCCACATCCCTCTTGGCCTCTGCCAGCAGATAAAGTGGGAACTTGGCAAACGGAGCTAACTATTGTTTTTTCAGTTGTCACCACAAACATATTTCATTTTCTGCTCAGTGAAAAGACTGACTCTTTAGTGCAACACGGAGCATAGTATTTCCGTAGTTTTAATTCCAGTTTTGTTTGTCCTTTACTTCAGCTGCAGAGAGCACTGCCTCCCCAGCCCATTCACGCCGGGATTTGAGCCCATGCCTGGTTTTTGCTGTTGTGTACGCACCCACACATATGCACACACGCACAAATGCTTTGCTCACACGTGTATTCTCCCATCACATTCTTCTCAAGACTTGTTTTGTTTTCTTTTGGTTTTTTTTTTCCCCCCCCAAGGCTTTCAAGTCTGCACCTTTAAAGGTAACTTTGAAAATGTCATTGGTCAAAATGAAAGAAAAATTTCATCTGACCTTTTTCCCACTTGACATTTCCATAGGCTTGGGACGTTTTTTTTTTTTTTTCTAATTCTCAGCTCCCTAACACCAGGGGTGTTTTCATTAAGTGCTAGGCGGTGATCACAAAGCACCCCCTTTCTCATAAGCAGTAACCCAGCAATTTACAAAGGATCAGACCAGGCTTCCTGTCAAATCCAGAGAGCAGCGTGCACAGGTCTTGACTTTCAGCATCTGTCTGTATTTTGGCTCCGTAATCACCACCTCTGGTGAACGTGGAGGCCTTCTAATACAGATCCAGCCAGGGCATCCTTTTCTTGAACGACCTTCCTATTTTTTTACCTTAAGCAGTTGATCCAGAGCTCTTGAAGGACAGGGCTCTGCTTTTCTCCCTCGTGCAGCCTTCAGGTATAACCAGTTATACTTTTAGTTCCTACTTCACTGGCTTGGCGCTTTCCCCTTGTGGGCCCAGTCTTTGGTCTCTGAAGTCCAGACTGGTTTGGGCTCTCGGCTGGGGGCTCTCACTAGGTGGGCACCGTGCAGCACCTCGAGCCTGTGTGCCTTCTGCCAGCTCTCTGTGCTCCCCCTTCCCACCCGGAGGCCCCCTTCAAGAAAAATAGATGAGTAACTTTCTTAAGACTTTCTGATTCTGGGACAGAAAACAGAAAGCTTCTGCAGCTCCTGTGTAAAGGGGCTCCCTTGCGAGGAAAAGGCTGGCTCTAATTTAGCGGAGCAGTGGATGGCAATGAGCACCATTGCCTCTCCCGGCATAGGCACAGAGTGAGGGGGAGAAAGGACAGCAAGATGTGCTCAAAATACCATTTTAGGGGGAGAACGCTAGCAGCAGACCTTCTCTCGTGATTGCTTGTACACACTGCCATCTCGTGGGGCAGAGCACGAACTTAAACACCGATACCAGGCACTTCGTTTAAGCCTGAGAAAAGTTATCTTAGCAAAGACTTTTCCATGAGGTGGCTCTTTAAAATGACAAATAATATTGGCAGACAGAACTGACTCTTAAGAAGTGTTGTAACATTTTATGTCAGGTAAGCAAATTTGTTTTAAAAAAATGACTGCAGGCTTCTTATCCTCCAGTTGTTACTATTTTTAAATGCTTAACCTTTTAGTTGTCCACCTTTGGTAATGCGCTCTGTAGCAGCTTTGCTGCTCATCACACCATCTCTTCATTACATGTTGATTGCTAGTGATATAAATAATATATATATATATTATATAAATATATATGAAATATCTACTGACTTCAAGGAAAATCTTTAATTTCTGATTTAGGATCACTGTTGGAGGCAGTCCTTTTCACCTGGTTTTGTTAAGTTCTTTTGTGTTGTGTTCTTGTAAAGGTGGCCGTCAGTGTATAGGGTAAGTCTATTTTTTTTGTTAAGTTTTCTAATCACAGCTGATCCACTGATCACACTGATCGGTGCAAGACCTAAGTACCCTTTTAATGAATCTTGAAAGTTTTGAGGCAGTTAGGGTCTCTTGAGTCAAGATTTGCTTCCATGGGAGACCGAGACTTTTTCCATATCCCTGGCAGAAATGCAGACACTCATGAGACATGTTGCAGACATGGGCTGCGCGCAGAGCAAAGCATGTCTGTTACTTGGGTTTCTTGCTATTTCTGTTGCTTACATATAGAATAAATGTATTTACATGCTGTAAGCCCGTCATTGTGGACAGTGTCCTAATGTCTTGTATTGCTACCTAAAATAGTTTCTTTTTGGTTCTCCTTTTCTTTTTCTTTTCTTTTTTTTGGGGGGTGGGGGGAGGCATGGGGAAGGGAGGGATGGCGACCATTAGACCATTGTATGTTCTAGGCAAGTAGTTCCCACAGCACCGAGGTTAATTTTAAACAAGGTGATACCGTTAAGGTTTTTTTTTGATCTCGTGTTCAAGGCACTTTGTAACCTACCTTAGTGAGTGCTCAGAAGTCTTTTCAGGTATTACTCAGACCCTCGTCTCGCCCCGGAGTGACTAGTTGTTTGTAGGCTAGCTTAGCTAGTATCAGATAGGGAAAAGAGGCAAGAGGATGGTTTGTGAATGAAAACTGAACCTTTGGCCCTTCTCCTGCAAGGCATCCAGTGAGATATTGACTTCAGGGTCACCACTGCGCTCCCTTCCTAGCTTGTAGGTGAAACCTTGAGTTTATAAAATGAGCTGCACTGCAGATCTGTAAATGCTGAAGCATGTAACGCTGACATCCTTTGAAGTGGGAGGCTCACTTGGGACGAAAGTGTGTGTGTGTGCGCGCGCGCGCGCGCGCGTGTGTGTGTGTACAAACAGTACACACACACACACACACACACGCACACAAAGGAAAAAATAAAGGGCACGTACTGCTGGAGGCTCTTAGCTCTGATGTTAAGTTGCAGGCATCCTCCATCACTCTTCTGCTTCCTCCATCACCAACTTCTGCTTGGGAAGATGAAGGTCAAAATTCAGTGCTGCGTCATCCCTGCAAGGTCGGCGAGGCAGTGCTGCGAGAACCAACAGTGTAAAAACTGGCAAGCAAACAGAGTTGGACTTGTACCAAAGCCACAGAAATGAGCCCTCAAGTTTGGTAGGTTGAGCTCCTCTCTCAAAAGAGGATCGTTTAGTTTATTTGCTTACTTGTCCTTTAAGCTTGGCACCTGGTCCCTGAAATCTGAAAATCCTTTTATCTGAACGTCCTTTGATAAGCTCTGCCCGTATAAAAAGAGCAATGATAATGCAGAGCTCCCACTAACCTCTGTCACTGAACGGGTACTTCACATTTTCTGTGACGCTGGTTAAATGTATTTAATAGTGGTTCAGTCTCTGCAGCTGTTTACAAAGAAATTAATTGCTGCGTGCACTGTACGATGGGCCTGACCTCTCCAAGAGCATCCTGAAGTGATGGCATCCAGGTAACTGCCTGGCTGCCTTTTAAGAAGCAGGATGTCACATTTGCCAACACGCGGTCTTCAGGCAGAAGCAGGGTGGGCCTCTGCCTCTCGCCAGCTGTGGGCTTGCAGCTGTGTGCGACAACAGCCCGTAGCTGAGCAGAGCTCGCGCTGCGGCAGGAGCTGCTCTGGCTGCTCCCCGCTGGCTCTTGCTACAGCTTGCCAGCAAATTTGGGAAATTAAGAAGAATAAAAAGCAAAATCAGTCTAGAAAGTAAACAAAATTAGAAAGAGTGGGAAGCAAAACACTCTTCTCCCATAGCGCTTGTAAATCACCTTGCAAAAACACCCCTCCCCAACTGTGAGTAAATAACCTACTTCTTCAGAGTAGAGCGTATTGAGAGAGCAAAGTTATGGCATTACGTGGCATTACCATTTTGGCACATCTGTGTGGTTGACTTTTTTTTTTACTGGTATATGTTCTGTCTGTTAATATTGAAGAGTGAAAAAAATACGTGAAGTTCATACCCTTGATACCTTTCTAAAGCATAGAAGGAGGGCCCATAACAACGGAAACGTCCGCGTGATCCAAGCTGCGACAGTCTAGTGCGGCTCGCTCTCCTGCTGCTGTGTCACAGCCGCACTACGGAAGCGCTACGAGGGTCCCGGGATTTGTTTTCTTTGCGATTCAGATATGGAGAACTATTTTGTTTGGTTTTTGATTTCCCTATTGCTGTATCTTCTATGCAATTCCTTTTCTAAAGACTTACTTACTACCGGAGAAGTGCTAGCCATTGCATTATTTGTATTGCTGTACAGTGGAGGTGTGGTTTACTAGTTCTGAGTGTGCCTCTTACCCCCCTCCCTTTTTCTCCTTCCCTCTGTTTGTAAATGCCTGCATTTATTCTGTCAGCCTGACATGTACAAAGTGTAAGAAAGAATTTTTAAACAGGTAATAAATTATATTTATAAGCAACTGAAAAAAAAAAAAAAAGGCAACACTACCTTGTGTTCAATTGTTTAGTTCCTGGAAGGTGGGAAGGAATGAGGAGCCTCATATTGATTTATTTTCAAAATTGACGTGCTCAGAAGAATTGTTTCTGCACATAAAAACTTGCATAGTCTCACTTGTAGGATACTGTTCAGGACACTGTAGCAAGTGTGGAATAAGCTATTGTGGGAGCCCAGGCAGAGGAACCCACCCAGTGCCAGCTCGCTCTGGGGAACCCCTTGCAGCTGCTGGCGCTGGCGGCTGCCAAGGCTGGTAAGTCATTGAGCCAACACTTGAATATTTGTTCTGGCCTGACCAAACAGACTCATCTCAGTGTTTCTCCAGTAAAAAGGACTAACTAAGCCACTTTAAATTCCAGGTTATTGCCTACTTTATTGACTTAGTGTATAGAATTAATCTGGGACCAAGGACAAGTACTTGAATGGCCTCATGTGCCTTTCTCACCAGGTCAAATGGGGGTGGGGGGGGTGGAGAGCTCCAACAAGAGCTGGCGCGAGAAGCTGTCAGCCTACTCGTTTGCAGCCTTGACTACAGGTGACCAGATTTAGGCCAAGTGTAGTGCCCATTTGGAGGACAGTTCTATAACAATGAGGATGGTTCGGTCAACCAAGGTTCTGGGATAGAGGCTGGACCAGGTTTGTGGCCATCCACTGCTTGCTTACCGTGCTTGGGCCTAGCCAAGGCCGTGGAGATCTGCTTGGCAATATTCAAACTGGTAGAGCCCAGAAGTTCAAGCTGTGGATACATCTTCAGAGACATGTTATTTGAGGCAATCAGTGTCCAGAAGCAATACTGGGCATTGCTGAAGCATGCTGAGCAGAAAACATTGCTGTGGCTAAGTTCCAGCTACAGGTTTACTCCATCTGAAAACCACTGGACCTTTGGCAACGTGGAGGGAGAACTATTCTTTTTTCTTTCATTTTATCTTACCATTATCTTCTGTGGTATAAGAACAGGTAGCTTATATATAAAAACTACCTAGGAAGAGGTAGCTTATATATAAAAGAGGACTTGGAGCTTCTACATGAAAAGAGACTATCTCAAGGGACATGAAGCATAACAACAGAAAATTAAGGAAAAAAAGAAAAGATAGGAGGAACAGACACAGAGAGCAGAGCGGTGGGGAACAGCCTGAAAACTATGGGGCACGGCGAGCTGCGGAGAGCTGCGGGCAGACCCAGCGCGGTAAGGGCAGGGCAGGACTGAACGGCGGTGACGTGCCAGTCCCACATGCCACGTAACAAACGCGGGTAAAACGTTCTTCAGCAAGCACGGTCCTTTCCAGCCCACGTACGGCCCGACCGAGTGACTTGGGAAATGTTGCTTGAAAATACCTGACAGGATCTGCTGCTGAGTATGACAAGAATACACGGGTCAAAGTAACGTGGTTTGCAGGGTGCTGGTTACCGGCAAAATTGGGCTGAACAGATGTAGTTTACACATGCCTCTGCAAACAACTAGCGAGACAACTACCCGTTAGCAAATGCTGAGCTGAATGTTACCTACTGTTGCCTTCCTTTTGTTTTGCTGCGGCGCAGGGCTGGAAAAATCTAGGTTTTTGTCCGTACATAGATATGCCATATTCCTATGCCTGTTGTGCTATTAAAAATAGAAGTCATAATTTGTGAATATTTGGGGGAAAAAAGGGAAGAGGAGCCTCACAAAAATATTATTCATATGCCAAATTTCTATAGATTTACATAATCATCTGTAAAATGCAAGTGGCTGCTCTGTAAATGATAACTTGTATTTTAATTACTATTTCTCTCTTCACTGAGTTGTGAAAGGAGGTGATGATTTTTTTTTTTTAATGTCACTGGAAACATATGCAACATCTTACAGTTTATTTATTTGCTCAAAGGGAGAAATCTTTAAAAACCATACATAAAAATGAGGCATGGCCAAAATAGTCTCACCAGTGAAAAGAAACCCAGAAGTCGTCTTTTTTTACGTGAAGAGTAAATGAAATTAAAAAGTAATCTCTGTCACAGGGAGATGGAAACAATTTTATTTGGGGAATAGTAAAACAGCCATATACAATCTGAACAAATACAACATAACAAGTTTGTTCCCCATTTTTTCTAATTACAGTATTTACAGGTTTCATAAGGCACTGGTTCTCAAAAAAGAACACAAATTAGTTTCTTAGTCTTTACATTGTCAACCTTTTCTTTAAAAGAAATAGTTGTGTTTGTGCTAGAGACAGGATAGCAGTTGCTAGATGGCATCTCTCTTCCTTTTGTTTTTTTAAATCCTTCTCCCAACCTATCTGAGCTATGCCAGTAAGTCATTAAACTAAACTTCCTTCAGTGTTTTTACATTTGAAAATCGTATTTCAGAACCTGCTGGCACAGAGGCCACCAGGCTCTTAGCCCTGACATCCAAGTCCTCATCAACAGGCACTGCGACACTACCGAAGTCTGGAAGTGACAGTAAAAGGCTGTACAGGTGGCAAAATAAAAAATACATGTACTAACGGGAATTCACTGTACATGTTGGAACCATTACAATTATTACATTTTGAGCGTTGCCTAAAGTTAACCGTTCATCTGGTAACGCAGCTGTCACAGTGCTAGAACCAATGTCTTGCAAGCTTCACTTAGGCCATTCTTCTGCCCTGAGGAATCCTCCTTTAACAGTATCATTGATTACAATAGGTATGAGATGTGAGGGCAAAATCTGGCCCCTTTAGTCTTGGGAGAAAATGGACAGAAATTAGTTCCATAACTGCAGACCCTTTGTTTTCTTGGATGTGTGTCTCCTCATATATATATATTTATTTTCCTACATAGCACTGTTGCAGTGATTTGTCATTTATGTATTTTCATAAATAAATATTATGTTTTATTTAGTGCTTTATCATCCATAATAGTTTACTCTTGTTCCACCTACTGGAGTTATTCCAGACTCCCAACTGAACATATATATATATTTATATATATATATAAAAAACACATAAACTTGAACATTTAACATACACACATTACATAACCTATCAACCAGTATCTTAGATCCCTTCCTTTTGGAACAAAAAAGCAGGACTCGTTCAGAAAACCTGCAGGCGGCGAGCTGGGAGCATGAAACTGGGTTTTCCATCTTCATCGTGGCACAGCTCTGCCCGCGCGAGGGCAGGGGCAGAGGAAATTTCACGTTGCTGTTTTCGTGAGCGCCCCTCGCCCGTGAGCCAGGGCAGAGGACTGGATCTGGCCGTCAGCCTCGAATCAGGGCATTTCCCACCCACGTTTATCTCACAAGCTAAAACGTACGAGGCGAAAGGCAAAACGAAGGAATCTCCACGTAGGATCTCAGCGCGACAGTTCCCACCTACACCGAAAGCCCTCGGGTAGGTCATCAGGGATTCATTTCCCCTCCTATGTTACGTTTGCGCATGTTAGATACTCCTGATGTTTCTTCCCACTTTTCACCCCTGCTCTCTAATCGTCAGTGAGGCCACCACATTCAGAGGGATGATTTACAGCAGAAACCTCACGACTCAGTTCACTGAGAAGACAGAAAGATACAGTCTGAAGAGAGGATGGGCTATTCTCCTTACTTTGGGCCAGACATTTTCAAGTAAAGGCACCTAAAAAGAGGACCAAATTCTGCTCTCACATATGCAAGCATGCTGCTTATTGAAGCCAATGGAAATCACCAGTTGCCCTCTGGGGCCAGGATTTAGTGTACTATTAAGTCTCAGAGATTTTCTTTTTGTGTTGCTTAGCATTCTTGGGGTACCGGCAGGGAAACTGCAAAAAAAGCACTCTAATTAATGAAAGCCCTCTGATTAAACTTTTTAACGCCTACAATCACGAAGGTCTCGCTGGTTCGCTTGAACCTCACATTTTTCTCTATTAGCTTGGAAGTATAAAATTGCAATTTTTCAAACTATAAATACCTTCAGGGAGCTCTGAAGCTGAACTCCAATTATATATACCTAGCTACCACAAATAAATCAGTTTTGTCCAAAAAGGAGGAAAAGAAGCATTACATAAATGCTGAGGATAAATGCAGCACGTCCATTACTTCAACTCCGAAATAGGCTTGTTATAATCAAAGCAGCATTTGTAACAACTTATTTCAAACTTAAACTGAACGCTGTCTAGAGAAACAGGACAGAGGCAGGCAGAAAAACAAAACAAAACAAAAGTAAGAACAGTAACTCTCATGCAGCTCGGCTTTCATAAGCTGACAAAGAACAGAAACCTCCCCAAAGAAAACGCCTCGCGTGGGGGACTTTGCCTTCCTGTTACCTCTCATTTCCCCTGCCACAGTTTTAACATTGCGACGGCTGCTAGGTCCCCAGGAAGGGAGGCTGCAGAAAGGCAACTAAGCCCGTGCCGCATCGCCGTTCTCCTCGCTACGGCCCTTCGGCCTGGGAACGGCGGCGCTACGCAGCCTGCAACCTGGCGGCAGGCCCTGTCCCCGTGCAACGGCTCCCACAGCCTTCGAGGCCGCTGCAAGGCCGTCCAAAACAATAAGGCGGCCAAAGTCCAAGGCCAGATTTTGGTCTGCAGTGCCCTAAAGCGCGTCTTTATTTCGCTATCCCAACATTTCATTTTTCTTTCATCTGAAAAGGGAACGTGGATTTTTTTTTTTCAAACTCTTGTTGTACTCGGGTATCCCACTTCTAAACAACCGAAGGAACAAGTTAATAATTCTGCCTCACAACAAACTTTTCTCTTACCCGGCGGTTTTGTATGTAGGTCAGCGCAGTTTCATTTACCAGTGGTGCCTCTCATTAACGCAAGGCTGGTAAGAAGATCCAGACGTGTACTTCGGGGGACTCGCTCCCCTCCTTTCTGCTCACAAACAAGATATTTTGTTTTGCAGAGGGGAGAAAAGCACTCAGAAAAGGGGCACTGGTTTATTATCCCAGCAGCACGTCCATGAGATTTCCTAACAGAGCTAGAAACATGAAGTGCTTCGGGGGGGAGGAAAAAAAAAAAGGAAAGCAAGTCACGCTGAACCATATTCGCTCTATGGCTTCTGATTATCTTAAACGAAGTATGAGCTCCCCCGTGACAGGTCACCTACAGGGACTCAGCAACCCGCGGCTCTAATAGCAACAGCTCTAATTGGGCTCGAGCTGTATTGTGAAAACCACTCACATCCACAGCGCCACGGAAAGTGGGCTCCGTAGGCAGGTGGCTTTTAAGGCGGCTTCTATTACAGTTTCTCTGAGCTTCACAGACTTTCTCTCTCCCTCTCGCTCCGTTTTTTTTTAATGCTGGAGTGCAATAGTCTCTCTATAAATGAAAAAGTCACTTTGCTTTCATTTTTCAGCATAGTTTCTTCTAGTTTTTTAATGTAACAATATACATCTTTTTTACTTCTAACCAAAAGTTTTATTTCCATAAAATTTAAAGCAGTATCTTTTTAAACAATCAAAATAATAATAATAACAATAATAATAATAAAATAATAAGTGGCTTTCATGGAAAGCAACACGTATAACCTTAAACCAGTTACTAAAACTGTATTCCCCATGTAAACAAGGGCAGACGAGCCTCCTCCAAACTTGGATGTCAACATTTGGCTGATTTTGCAAAGGATACTCTCCTCAAAAGCTGTCAGACACGACTGCATTCGAGGTGCTTCTTAGGGAAGGCTTTTGATGCCTCTCCATGACGTCTTGACTGCAAGAGAAAGTCCGTTTTGGTGGGCTTTCGCAAGAGCTGCCTGTTGCTGGATCAGAGTTTAATGTCCTGTGACTCTGACATTTTGGCAAGCGTCTTCTTGACCCGCAGGGCTGTGAGGCGGGACGCGGGGTTGTGAGCCCAGCACTCCATCATCAGCTTCCCCATCTGGCGGAGGCACTGCGGGGGCAAAGGCAAAAGCAGGTCGCACCCGGGCAGGGCAAGAGAAGGCTGCTGTTGGTGGCAAGATCGAGAAACTAGAGGCAGAAGGTCTTGTCTAACGGCGGCCGAAAAAGACCGACGTTCTGGGTTCTACTGCTTTTCAAGAGCCTTCTCCTGTATATTAAATAGAGCTCTCAAAACGTGGTGATTACTCTAAAATTTATGACAACTTCTAGTCTATATTTCTAGTCTATATGTAAACTCAACAAAAGCACTTTTCTTATCTGCCCTTCCCCAAACCCTTGCAGCAAATTTTGCTTAGCACGACCACTATAAACATGGCTTTGTAGAGAGAACGCTTTGCCGGAAATTCAGTGGAATTAGCCTTCCTCCAGCAGCAGCCAGGCCCCGGGGCTATGGCACAACACGAACACACAGCTTTTCCAGCCTTGGGAAGGCAGCAGCAGCATGCTGTATTCCTGCTCTGTGCCTACTGCTGCCATCTGAACAAAAAAAGGTCAGGTAAACCACCATGCCCGCGTGCCCTGCTAGCCCAAGGTTTCACACTGCCTGAAGATCTGCTTGATTCAATAGGAAAAAAAAAAGTTTTGAAATAGTTCGCCTGCGCCCGTGAAGCTACAAGGGCTTCTCAAAGTAGGACTCTGAGAGAGTTTTAGTTGAGAAGTGCTGGCTAGCGTTGTCAAACTCTTCCACGTTGTCCACCACTTCTTCATGAGGCCCAGAAAGGTATTAAGCCTAATACCCATTCACAGTGCCCCATCAACCTAATACCTTCCAGATTAAGATGGATTTCTATAAACTTCTGTTGGTGATACACAAGGTTTTATGCACTAGTAAATTTGCCTCTCGCTGCCATAAGCCCCGAAATGGGATTACCGACTGGACTAATCAATTTATGAAGAGTAGTTATTTCAGCAACTCTCCTCAGTCCTCACTACGGGTGCTGCCACACCATATGAGCCTTGTGCCCCTGCGCAAAAGCCTTTCCAGGCATCTACATGAACAGCGCTTCCTCCTGTGTGTTTCCACCTCCTCGAAGCCTCAGCAGGTTTTGATTAGGGGCAGGACAGGCAAGATGTGGTTAGATCCTTCCTACAGTGGCTGTTAATGCAGGTCCTCAAGTCTCCCGGGGAGGTGGTTTTATTTTTGCCTGGCATTCCCACATTGCCTACAACTCACATATCGCAAGTCTTTTATCTAACTGCAGAATATTCATCTAAGCACTGCCATTCCCAAATGACAGCTGTCTTCTGCTATTGCAAAAGACATTACAGCATTATACGGTACCAATTAGCATGATTAATGACTTCTCCATAGCACGGCAAGTTTGCCTGTTGTGCATCCACTATTCATCTCTGATTCCTAAAGCGCAACTTTGTTTCATTATACATTCTCAATGGAAAGAGTTCAGATTCTCCCCCACCCCTCAAACAACCAAATTTTACTTTGGAAAGCGTTTTCTTGATCCTACATCTCTTCTGAAAGGCCACATCTGCAGGCCGTGCTGTTAAAATGCAAAAAGGCACATGAGTACCATTTCCTAAAAGATGGAAAGAGGTGAACATTAAGTGCTTTATTTTTGCTGCCTGGGCACGGTGCTCACTATTACTCTATGTCCGTAATACCCTAACAGTGAAACTTGACATCATGTGCTCAGGTTAATGTGCTATCATGGTAAAAATACCATTTCTAAGTCTGATCACAGAAAAGCTGGACACTTACTTCATTTTACAGAGGTAGAAAAAATTTGCTTCTTTTTTTTTTTTTAAAAGCCTTTAAAGAAGCTTTTTTTTTAAAAAAAAAAAAAAAAGAAGCTGGGAATTATGGCCTATATACATTGGTACACGCTGAAGCTGCTGCTGGGTACTAAGTGTAAGTTAAATTCTCTTCCAAAAAGCGTTAACAGTTTTGGCTAGCCACTCACTCCTCCAGATGTAAAATGATACAGAATTAGGTCAATATCTCACTCGCTCGCTCTGATCAAAAATACTGCAAATTTGGGCCTTAAGCCAATTTAGGTAGTAAAGCACAGGCTTCATTTGGAAAGGGGCGATACCTCATCGCTGCTCCATCTGTTGGGAAATGACGGGCGTAGCCTCTTGATGCACACGATCTCCCGCATGTCCTCGTACGAGGGGTCGCTGGGCACCAGGTCATGGTAGGGCAGCTGGTATTCTTCGACTATTCCTGGGAAAAAAACCCAACAACAAGTTGTGTCTCGCTTGCAGAAGACATGTGCCACTGTCGTCTTCTCCTCTTTTTCTTCTCCTCTTTTCTTTATAGCAGTTCGACCATAAAACATTTCCTCTGGCCCCAATTCTCATTTAAACGTGGCCTTTACTGGGCGAGTTTCATGCACACACTGCGGAAAGAAAACCTGGCTTTCTGCCTCACTGTAGAGTGAGCGCACGCTCTCCTCGCTCGCCATTCCTGTTTTCCGCCGCGAGGCAGGGCGTGCGCACCTAGCACAGACGGACCCTCACCCTTTCTGCACCAGCAGTGATCGTGATGATGAAGGTGGTATTACAGATTTTACAGAGAACCACTGCAATATATTATACAATATACTATAATATTAATGTGTCATATATGTAATACATAATATATAAATGCAACATTAAAAATTGCAAACACAGGAATCACAGTGCTCTTGAATGAAATTCAGCTCTTCCAGGGCAGGCACAGAGCACAGTACTGCAGGCTTTAAAAGTCTGGACTGGTGAACGCAGCACAGACCCAAGAGACGTATTCTGCTCTTTCTCAGCACCAACGTGGTACGCAACCACTGCCAAATCATTTCTCTGCATCTAAGTTTGCCCAGTGGCAAAACAGAGGTAATAACACCCATCGTTTTTGCACTGCACTGAGCTCTGCGTGTGGAGTACACAGAGCCTGTGCATAGGAATAGAGCTAGACCCCAACCCTGCAGCTGGCTGGATCTCTTCATCACTGCCCTCTCCACCACTTGAACGCTTGATACCAGAAAGAAGCACGTTACTAGTAAGACAGTGATGTAGTAAGTGCCATTTTCCCTGCTTTTTTCTACTTGTCTTGTAACTAGATTACTTATTTTAAGTAGTGGCACAGAATACCCCCAAACTGTTTGCCTTACGTTTAACAACAACAAGAAAAAATCACTATTTTCTTTCTGCTACCATAGCTGAATGTCCCCAGTCCAGCCAAAACGTGTAGCCATCTGAAAAAGCCCCTAGATGAGCCCCTTATCTCCCCTTCAATGTAGACCCCGACAGCCCCCAAAACAGGCCATTAAAATACACTAGAAATCTCTGCTGTTAAAATAGCACTGACTGATGCTGTAAAGTTCACCAGAAAACAGAAACGAAGAGTTACCTGCATGGTTTATCCACATGTGTTTACTGCAGTGAAAACGCTTACCCAGAGGAAAGGATGGAATGGAAGATTTGGGTTATAAACTGCGTTTGCTGAAACAATTAAAAGCCATGTCACTGCCATCAAAAAAGTATATTTGCCATTTACCTCCAGACACACATCTCCTTGCTATCTCCCAAAGAATGAGCCCAAAACTGTACATATCAGCCATGATGTACGACTGAAAGTGATTCCTATTCAAGCTTTCATCCAGCACCTCGGGAGGCATATAGCGTTTTGTTCCCACACGCGTATTTGGAGGAATGTCTACCTCGTTCGTATCGCTACAAGACACAAGAAAAAAAAAAAGAAGGCATCACACATGCAATAAAGTAGCTCGAAAAGAAAGCAATTTAGATGGGAGCAGTAGTAAATTCAAACCACATCCAGGCTGGAACAAGGTCATAAGTAATGCATGATCTTAATGGCACAATTCTTATAGGGAAAGCCTCTTAGCGTGAGCCGCCGACCCTTCCTAAAAGGCTTACTTGCCTCAGGCGATATTAAGCATTCAAATGCACAACCGCGATGGAGATAAGACTCAACAGGGATGCTGCATTTGGGAGATTTCATTACCATTAAACTAGACTAATGCTGGTGATAACAATCAACTCTTCATTAAATGTTATTTTCTTAACATACTCCGCCACCTAATGCTTTTGTCTTAACACTTAATGGAGGAGACTACATAGCTCGGGAGTATCATTTAACCCTACCAAATCAGACCTGCAAGCAAAAAGGGTCTGCCTAATTTTTGTGCATATGCGTTATGCCTGACCTCTCCCAACCTTTCCATGCCAAGATGTAAAAACAGCCAGACGTAAGCGTGCAAAAGATCTAACCAAATGTGTCACATGTCACACACACAGACCACAGGAGACAACGTATAGCTAACAGGAAACAAATGCTCACTAAAAACACAGCTGTTTATTTTGTCTTCATTAACTGAGAGTCTGCTGCATCAATTTTAGTGTTTTTAGAGGTTTAAGATACGGCATAAACTGTGGTTTGCTTAAAAAGGCCTGTTTCCCTTTCCGCACCTTCAAAACTTAAATATTTTAAATATGATAGTTATAACAAAATCTTACAGAATAATCACACAACTTCTTATATAATTTTGTTCACCTATCATTACAGAAATGACCAACAAGCAGAGGGAAAAGCTTGTCACATTCACTGTCATTTAACATACGTATGCTGGTGCGTTTGTGCATACCCACAAAAACATGACATAAGTCCAGTGACCTGCACTGACTTGCAGTATTTCTAAAAAAATAAGGCAGGCAGAGAATTTTATTAAACTCATTATTTTTCAGCAGATCACATCTCTTTCACCTACTTTTTTCTGTTCCTGGCCATTGTGTAAGGAGGGATTCTGTCTGAGAAAAGCTGAGTGTGTGCTGTGAATTCCAATTGGATTACGAAATATATATATATACACATATGCATGTGTGCATATATATATAAATATAAATATACACATATGCACACACACACACACACACACACACACACATTTCATATATATATATACATATATAGAGACCTTCTTCAAGTAGTTTCTAGTTTTTCTCAGGTCATGCCTAAAAAGTGTGTTACTGTGCATTTGCCAGGCAAAATGTACCTGGAAAGTATAAATTGCCTTCCCTGAAACTTTTACAGTGAAAGGCATGTTTCCAAGTTGTTTCTCTTCCCCAAAGTAAAATTATTTCTTCCTCATCTCCCAGAGGAAGGTCTGGTTCATAAAGGAAAAGCCTCACCCAGAAACCTGATAGAGGAGTCAACGGTGAGAAGGGCATATAAAACTGTCCTTACTTTCACTCTGAGTAATTTCAGTTCAAGATCTTGTACAGAATAGTTTTTTGTTATGCTTAAGGGAACCCACGTTTTCAAAGCCGACCTCTGAGACTGAAACCTTCACTCTATGGGGCCACGTTTCTGTGCTCAGAAAAATCACAGGGTTCGTAACATACATCTCCAGCAGGAACAGACCTGAGAACTCAAACTCCTTTCAGACAGAGCAAACAGCTCTCAGACAGCAATGACTTCTTCATGAATCCCAGGAGTGCGCCAGTCCTACCTGTCTGCTCCTTCTCAGTTGTGTAAACACATAACCATTTTTAAAAATCAAATTTAAAAGCCATTTCAAAAATCAAATCTGTCCCTTGGCAATGTGATTTGTAGGAAATGAAACAAAATACAACACAAGTGGGGTGCTTTTCAATAAATCCCAGTTTCTAGCATGTGCAAGTGATGAATATTATTCCGTACAAGTTGTGAGTGAATTATTTAGAGATTAGACAAGCCGAAAGCTTCAGTGACAAGTTTATTGACATGATTTCACCTGTCAGTGCTACGTCCTTTTAGCACGCGGTAATAATATTCAGGCTGATACAGAACAGACCTGATGAAAACTGAAACGTTTATGCAAATGCAACTAATGTTGACAATTATTACAGAGCAACCATTTATACACCTGCACGATGCGTTTATGTGACGTGCTCACCTCCGGAGGGAGCCCCATCTCAAACACGCGTGAGCACAGCATGAAAGGTGTGCACATACATTGCACGTGCTTACTCACACGAGCACACGCACTCAGGAAACAACATAACCAGTGTCTCATTTATCAGCTTCCGTTCGGTCTACTTAGATCTACTCACCTAATAAATTTAACAGCCAAGCCCAAATCTGCTATACAGCAGGTTCCGTTCTTTTTCACCAGAATATTCTTACTTTTTAGGTCCCGGTGGGCAATAGCCGGTTTGCCTTGAGTGCTGAAGATCTCCGTGTGCAGGTGGCACAAGCCGCTCACCGAGGAGTAGGCCAGCTTTAGCATGGCTTTCGTGTCCAAGGTAGTGGATTTCAGATAATCATAGAGTGAGCCATTCTCATGATAGTCGGTGATGAGATACAGCTGGGTCCAAGATCCTGTACCTTTAATGTCTGCAGCAATGAATCCTGCCCAAAAGTAAAGATTTTCCAATTAATACTTCTCACGGCTCTCTCGGATGCCTCAGTGCGCTGAACTGTCAGCTGCATCAGAGGTTTTGTTTTCACGCTTTGTTCAGTCGCTTTTATCATCCTTCCATGCAGCTATGCTAAGGTCACCACCTCATGAAATGAGGACTTCTGCTGCGTGAGGCAAAAGGTCTGTTTTCAGGACAGCCCACAGTGAAGTTTGCCAGGGCTTTCTATCCCTCCCTGGCCCTTGGGAAAGCTCAGCCTCATCACGAGATCCTCCCTTCTCGTGCTGGCCGAGGCATAGGCAAGCAAACAGGTTAAAAAGATTGTCTGGAAAGCTCTGTAAAAGCTGTGCATTAATTTACCAGCCTCAACTTTAGCCTTTCGTGTATTTACGAAAGCCCGTGTGCTCAACGACAGGCGGCAGAATTAGAAGTGCGCTGGCTGCAACAGCCTCCAAAGCCAGTTACTCTTTACTGCACAGGAATCCTTAAAACATCTTATTTTTGTAAGGTATGGCATGGCTAATTGTGGAGCACGGTGGGTAACAAAACACGCAAGAGGACGTCGGACAACAACAAACAGCAAATTAAACTTAAGGATCAAATATTTAAAAATCTTTAATTCCACTCACCGAGAATATTTTCATGCCTCATCAGGACAGTTTGGTAGATTTCTGTTTCTCTGAACCAGCTGGCCTCCTCCGTGGTGAAAAACACTTTTACAGCTACCTTTTCTCCACGCCACTTTCCCATCCAAACCTCTCCATAGCGGCCTTTTCCAATCTGCTTTACCATCTGAATCTGTTTTGCTATGGTCCTTTGAACCTGCAAAAATCCCAAGACACGCAGTTAGAACTTGCTCGGCAGAAATTTTCTGCGTTCGTCTTGGTCCTGCTTCCTCTCCTTTCTGCACAAGAATCCTGGCGAAAACGGGAATGCGCAGACTTTGCAAAACGGATTTCTGCAAAGCTTCACGGCACGGAAGCTCCCCACCTCCCGCGGAATACACAGCCAGCGAGGTCACTGCTGGCAATGCAAAGACGCCTTTCTAGACATTTCCAAAATGCACCATGGCAACTCAAGAGAGGAAATTAGTCAGTGCGAATAAAACTTTTGACTATTAATCTTAAAATTTTTATTTTCCTGTGGAAAATTTTCCCATTTTGTGGAAATTCTTGCTTTTTGCTGGAAAAGCTTTGATAGAAAATATTCCTGGCCACCCACAACCCCATTCGGCTTTTAAAGGACGAGGTCCTTTTATTTAAAACAGGAACGTTGTTACATATCCAACACCTTTGATCTCAAGGCTGAGACTCAGAACAGTCTGTGCTCCAAAGCAGTCAGTGCTCCAGAACCAGCAAAACTATTGAAAGCAGCTTCCTATTTCCTTCTAGCTCTTTGAAAATCCTGTCCCTCGTAATTTCAATATATAAATTTGGCTTTAGGAACCTTAGCCTTAGGAGTCAGAAAGGCTTTAGGACCTACATCAATTTTAATAAACCTCGTTATTTAGTAATAACAGTAAGAAATGACATTTTTCCCAAAGATATGGAAGAGTAGCTTTAAATTGCTGTTTTCTAGTGACTGTATCAAAGCCTCTGTGCAGCTGTATCAGAAGACCAACGTAACCAGCAGCACTGCAGAGATACCCACCCTTTATAAGGATGATGGGCTGCACGTAGAAGACTGAACGAGTCTACATTTAATAAACTTTTATGACCACGAAAATTCTTGGGCAAATGCAGACTAACACAGTCCCATAGGACTGGGGCATGTTGGCAGATGACATACTTCTAAAAGTTCACAGAAGAAAAAATCAAAGCAGATGCTGCAACACAACCCGCTACCGTTCACGGTTGACTCAACCTCACCCTAGTAAAACAAGATGTTAAAATGTCACCTTCTTCTGCTTCAGTCTTGCCAGTTCGACCCACAGCTAACGATTTTTGGTCTTGTAGGTTTTTACAAGATTTTTGAAGAAAATAACTTCATAGGCTGTAATACACTTTCATCTCTGACTAACAACTTTTAATTTGGCCCAGGCTGTTGGTAAAGTCCAAACTTGTGCAAATTTAAGGTCTCTAGGTTTTGCCACCACGCATACACAACTCTCAAGGAGCTTACTGCAGCGAGTCTGCACCGAATCCCTATGGAACCAAACGTGTTTCATGTAATCGCAAGTATTTTTGCAACTGTGGCTGACTAAAATAGACAATCAAAATTGGATTTTAAAAGCATTTGCTTCCCTCATTGTCTCTTGGAGGTCCAGTGAAAATTAGGTTTACTTATAATCTCTAGCGGTGGAAAGTACAGGCCAGTAACGCAGAGCCTGATGGCCACAATCCCCCTGAAGTATGAATGCATGTTCAGATAAGATCTATTATCTTTTATTTTGTAAATAAATTACAGGTTTTCATATTAGCAATTTAAAGAAGAATAATATCCATAGGCATTTATGTAAAACTATTTCAGAAGTTCCAGCCTTTATGTTTGTTTTCATTTAAACAGGATCCTATTTTTTCAGCCCTGCAATATATTAGGAGACTTCCAAGATGGCGGCTTCAGTGCCATTATTTTTTATTAACATCAGTGAAAGCCAAGAACAGAGATTAGCCTTAATTTTTAAAACCGATTTATTCTCCTTTATACTCTCATATAGTGATTGAACAATTGTTATATTACATTGGAATTTTGCTTTAACATTTGGTAATGTAATTTTAGCATTGTTGCTTTCTATTTTGCCCATTTTAAAAATGCATCCTGAACAATAATGCAGTTATATCAAATAACTTAATTTGTGTAAATATATGTAATGGCATCATAAAGTACATGAAATTACAATACTTAATGATGAAAAGTTCCTTATTAAATTACATTAAGAAAATGAAAAACACATTTCTGTTATGGGTTTTCAGGCGGCAGAATACTATGTGAAGGGCCTTAACCTGGTTTCCTCTTGCTAGAACTGGTCAAATGATTTACTATGAATAATTTATTTTATTTTAAGGAATTTAGCCCTTTGGGGGGCGGGGGGCTGATAAACTGATTACGTTTTTTAAAGCATATTCGTTCATCAAAATTGTTGGATGAACTGATTTTATAAGCATGCTGAATGATGAGTCTGTGTGAATTATTCACAGTGAGTGCTTTTTTGATTTCTTTCCAAATTTGTATTTTGCTGCTTGAGCTCTGTGACCAGCCAGGTGAAGTTGCATGGCCCTTTGTTTCCCCTCCCTGTCTGGAATCAACCCACTTACCAACTATTTCTACTTCTGCATTCTGTTTTTCAGCCAAATCTGTCTAATGCAGAGAAACTTCAGACAAACAAACCGTTTTTCACTTTAGTATTTTTTTCAGAGTATTTGCTGGCTATCTCTGGGATGCAGCCCATTGCAAAGCAAAATTCATTGGAAGAAGAATGAAAAAAACCCTGCAAAAAGGCAGGGGCCGCACTCTGCAATTCAGCAAACTTCATACCACTCTCTCCTTTGTGCCCCCAACAGGTAACCTCCTTCCCTGAGTTTGCACGTGCAGTCGCCGGGGCATTAGCTTTGCATGTACTTCTTGCTCTGTCAAGGCCAACGGGGTTCTGCTTGCCTGCACAGATTGCATTGCGCGCCCCACTTTGTTGGCTCAGAGCCTTTATTTGCAATTTACTATATTTTTTTTCGTTTTAAATTTGATTGGCAGCATTTAACCTGCAGCAAACTTTTCTGTCAGGGGTGCAAGCAGCTCGAGAGAAAAAATGCCTGTTGAACGTCAAGGTATTGATAACATCGTGGTTAATGTTTGTTTTTTGGTGTAATATCTACCCATTAAAATAAATGTTCTGCACAAAAGAAAGACATGACAGTTTATCATAAATTGACATTTTGTAATAAATTTGCAGCTTATTTTCCTGATATAATAACTTTGAATGTTTCACTCTTTGAATAAGAAGTAATGATGGTTAAAACTCTTCCACAATAAAGGCTATAACACTTTCTTCTGGGCGCTTTGCGATACACTCGTTTCCGGCATGGGCCCACAGGTACCAAACCATGCATTTCTTGCGGGCCTGCAGATGTGGTAGCTCTCTGGGAAATGCAGCAAACATTTATTACTATGTGCAAGATTCATTATAGCTCTCACTTTTTCTTGTCTTCCAGAGCAAATGACTGTTTAAAGTAAACATCTAGGGAAAAACGCATCCATTTTCCTAGGCAAAGAGCAGAAAAAAATGCCTCCAGGAACACCACCAGGTCCAGTGGCTGCAAAGTCTCCAGGCCTGGCAGAGCAAACAGGAGGACTGGAAGAAGAGTTGGCATCCCATCGCAACCTTTGCAGTAGTTAATTAGCAGCATAAAAGACGCACATAAAAAGACTCAAGTTTCTTGCGTTTGTCCGAATTACTATGGTGTCTTATGTGTTACGCAGCAAACAAAAAAAAAAAAAAAAGAGCCCCTCGTGATTAAATAAATTGGAAGCTCTCATTAGGAACGGTCTTCACTCACAGACGCGATCCCTCCTTTTCCATGGCCGCTGCAGGGATGTCGGCATGGGAGGTTATTCTAACTGACAAACTTTCTCCCAGCAGATAAGAACGGCTGTGGAATTCCCACGCTCAGACCCAGGCGCAAAGCCCGCTCTTCAGCTTGTCTTCTCCTCCTCAGTGGCTATGTCTATTGTTAGAAAACTGGATTTAAAAAAGCACTTCAGTTAAATGAGAACCTGAGCGCTTACTCTTGCCAAAACGAGTTCAGTTCAGTCAGATTTTAGCCAGTTGCTCAACTTTTTGCCTCATCTTGAGGAATTATAAAATTTCCCATTTTATTTCATCTTTAGCATGGGAAAGACGTGACTTGAAGGAATAAGCAGATAGTACCTAGTATTTGGAAACTGGACAACATCTACTGTATATAGGATCACTACAAACATCCAGGTTTAGTTGTCGGAAGGGACACACAGTCTCTGAAAAATGAAAACGAAATCAAATTCATTTTTTCAGGGGCAATATTTTAATTAAGTAGTCTGTTTTTTCTTCAGTGCTAAGAAGCAATGGCGAGCCTCAAAAAATTAAAACTCCGGTGAACAGAAGTGTTTTGCTGCAGAATATAAAACTTCTGCCTTTTCAGTATGTGAGCTCAGGGGTTTCAGTCGTCTTGGAGTCGGTTCAGAAATAATGATAAACTACACTCCCTTCCCATGCCTTTAACCTCTGAGATTACCACAGTACAAGGAAAATAATTTGCTCTTGACTTTTGAATGCAAAGTGAAGTCCACACATAAAAAGGTTCCAGGTTTGATAAATTACAGTTCCTTCTATATAAAGACTGTGTGTCAGTGTTTGAAACGCTATTGTGTGTTGTACATAAAAAGCATGAAAATGGGACTGCAGGCCAGACGCTGTCCTTTACAGTGGGGTAAAGCCTGGTGTGAGGTCTATTAATCTGAATTTATGCTATGATATCTGAGCTAAGTACTTATCCTATGATATCTGAGCTAAGAACTGAGCTGAGGTAAAAAAGCTAAGCTTTTTTTCACTTTGTCTACGTGAAATAAAAGTCTCCAGTTCTTAATTGTTTTCCAGCTTAAAGCCTTGCCATTGCTGGGGAAGAAAACCCTAAAGCAATTTGTATTTTCAAATACAAGTCTCATTTCTCAGGTATCCTTTTTTTCTCCTCCCAGTGCTCTCCTTTGCCTTTTAAACTTGCATTAAAATAATATTTGTCTCTTACCAGGAGAGGGAGCCCGGAGCCGCTGCCGGAGCTCTGAGACTGCTCGATCAAATCCTTCAGGGACTCCCCTGGCGGGATATAGGTCTCGTCCTGCTCCAGCCCGATGCTGTATCGTGGCCGTGTCTCCTGCCGTTTGTACCTGCCCGGTCATAGGAAAGTGAAATTAGATTTAACGGTGAAATTATTTAACCAAATATGCTGGACTTGCTAACCATTATTTTCAGCTTTGTTTTCAGTAAACTCTTCTCAGCATCCAAACTCTTGCACTCTGGACCACAAAACTCCAGGACTGCAATCTGGTGTATGTTTGCACAGCAAAAGGAGTGGGGTTTTCTTTTCAGGAAGTCAAACATGTTTAAAACGGATAGTGTAAATACCCTATTTTATTTCACTGAATGCAATGGGTCTTTTAGGAGCAAAAGGAAGTGAGATAATGGGATCCGGGACTATTTAAAAAATGTGAAGAATTATTTAGGTATAATGTCTGCAGATTATGATAACATTCTAGCCATATTTACTTACACTTCTGCACCCCCCCC